ATATATATATATATATATATATCTCCTGCTAATAAACTTTGATGAAATTTAGTTCACCATTAAATCTCTGATGAACCAGATTGTACAAAAAACATCTATATTTCAAATTTTATAGGCTTCATCATTTGATGTATTTGCACTCATGTCTAATTTTATTGTTTAATTTAGCTATGTGGTTTTGTTTCTTGTTAACAGATTATTTTTTTTAGCTTTGCTTTAAAGTTTAATTCTTGTTTTGTGACTTGTACATCTGTGGGTTGGAATAAAGTTGAACTAAAGGCTGTATCTCTTCTTTAAACATATTTGAGGGAAATGTTCCTGAGAGATCCAATAATTTTGTGTCTTTTTATGATTTTTCCACTGGGTTAACTTTAACAGATTATTTAATAGTCATTAAATTGAAAACAAGCTTTCATGATAAAGCCAGCACCGTTTATGAATTTAGTTTTTTAAATCTTCACTGATAAATAAATAAATAAATTTATATACATAAAATCTTTTTTTTAAATCTTTTTCATCCTCTGTCCCAGTCCGCCCGTCTGCCGGGATTGGGGCTCTGCCTTCATGAGCAGGCGAGGCTGGGGTCCGGGCAACGGCCTTCTGCGAGTCAGCAGCTCAAAACTCTGGTAGAGAGAACCGGGGAGACCGGCGGAGCTCCATCTAGCTTGATCTGAATTTTGTTGTTGGCTACCGAGCACAAAGAACGCCTGCACTTCAGCATTAGACCACGGTGTTTTCATTATTGTTTTTAAAATCTTACAAATCGATTCAGCTGCTGCTCCAGAATTCCGAGTAATTGCAAATGGCAGATCGGTGTTTTGAAAAGTTTCTGAAAGGTCCAGTGACTCCTCCCCCTGACCAATCAGTGACCGACAGTGTTCTGATGTCACGTTTGGGTGCCAGCTTGATTGGTATCACCAGAGAAGCAAGGACCTAAACAGGTGCCAGTTCCGTGGAACAATGACAGTGGAAAAGGGCTCAAAACCGTACCGAACTGAGACGAACCGGGCTGAAGAGGAGCTGTGGAAAAGGCCCATATTTGAATAAAAAGTATATTCTCTCCCATGGGTTTGCTAGTCTCCATATATCAACTAAATTCCAGTCCTGTGCTAACATTTGGATTGCAGCCTTGTCCTTAGGTGATGGTTTCCCTCTCGGTATGCTTTTATCAATAAACCCATCCATCACTTGGTTAAAATTGCCTAATAGAATAATATGACCTTCAGTATTCTCTATTATACTGTTAATTTCATGAAAAAAGACAGGTTCTTCCTGATTATGTGCATATATATTGCATAGAACAGTCCTAATTCCATTTAACAAGGCTTCAATACATATGAAACACCCTTCCTTATCATTATGTTGTTTAAGCATGACAAAACTTGTATTTTTGTTAACAAGAATCATTACACTATTTTGTTTGCTTGAATAGGAGCTATGGTACACTTTACACACCCATCTCTTTTAAATGTTGCTACTTCTTCATCCCTCATTTTATGTGATTCTTGGTTGAAAGCAATATCAGTGCCTTTGGATTTTAGCTAAGTCAAAACTTTCCGTCTTTTAATCGGATTCCCACATCCATTTATGTTCCACAATATTATATGAATATATCCCTTAACCATTTTTTGGTATTTGGTATATATTGTGGTTTGATCTATCATTTACCGAGGTACACTTCAACATAATTACAAATACTAACATTTGTGAATTGTAATAAGCAAACTGACCTGATTCAAATAACATAAATGAAAAATAACAACATAGAACTAAGCCAAGCAACAAAAAAACATGCTGTTGTTTTTTTAGTCCTTTTCTTAAAGGGATACATGATAAGTTGAACATGTTGGCCTAAACATGCTGTATTGTTCCTATTAGCTATAGCTGTTTGTGATGTGTAAAAACTCAATCACTTCAAAAATGTTATATATTTTGTTATATTTTTCACACATGGAGGCCGCCATTTTTCACCTGTGCAATGCATGCTGGGTTGATGACACAATTAGGTCCATTCTGTACTGGAATCTATAGAGTAAACACAGGAAGGCTAACATTACCAGAGTTGTTTTTATGATATTATGTTTGTTAATTTCAATAATGCCACACTGCGTCACTGTTGGCTGTAATTTCAAAACAGAAAAAGGCAGAAATAGTGAGGTGAGTGTGCACAGCTTCCCACATGATAAAAAAAGAAGAGTGCAATGGGGAAAAAGCCATCCAAAGAATGAAACTTCTGAAGGACCCACATTTGTGCTTTCAGCACTTGTCTCCAGAAGACTGAGCTAACAAGTGGTTGTTACCCACGAAAGCTAAAATCAAATGCTGTGCTGACAATTTTTAACCACAAAGCGCCTAAACCCATCGCAACCATTATATGTGAAGGGGACGTGTCCCCCCACATAAAAAAAACCCGTTCATTTGGACCCCCCCCCCCCCACACACACACACACTCACACACTTTTACTATAAAACATTAGTTCAGTCGGCGCCGTTTCTCTTTCTGCATGAACAAATCCATTCCACTTGATTAATAGGAGAATACTCAAACCACTAAAAATCCACTCCAGGTTTTCCTGGTTACCTCCAACTCACCAGCTTCCTGCAGCCTTTCTGTGCATCACCTCCTGCCTCAGCAGAGAACATTCACAGGTGGAAGAGATGGAGACACCTCTGTGTTGATCACTCGCCAGCTTAGCAAGCTTAGTGCGGACAGTTGTTGAAAAGGGGGTTGATCATAAACATATATACATGGTTAGGAGAATGCTTGAGAGAAATGGAGCGCTACATCTGTAGCATCTTAGCTTAGCAGTAACTGTGACGCTGATTTAGATGAGTAGTGTTGAACACAAGTAAAAAAGTCCAGTGGTAATGTTTTTTATTTCTTTATAAACTCAAATAGTGCAGATCTGAGGCTGTCTGTTAAAGTGTATTAAAGTTAAAATGTATTTAAAACCCACAGCTGAATTTACACAAACTTGGTGAGAAACATGCTTTAAATGGAATTAAAGTAAGGAAATCTAGATGAAATGTTGCTTTTTTGGTACACTAGTGTACACTTTTTTGCACACTGGTGCGCATGCACACACACACTATCATGTGTCCCCCCGCATTACAGATGCTTCTAACGCCCATGTTCGCACCCCTACTGTCAAGCATTTGTAGAGGCAAAACATTAAACTAGAACATTACCAAACTTTAGACCTGAAGTGTCCTCATTCTGAGTCTTTTGTCTGACTCAAGCATGAGACTGTGGTGGCTGTGATCAGGATAGTGACTACAGCCAGTATATAGTAGACAGCTTGTCTTGATGCTTGATGCAAACATTTTACTATATTTCAAAAACACAAAGTTTGTTTTCTCAGTCATCCAGGTATATAACAACAAAAAA